TCAAAGTTATAAATTACGAAAAACTGAAGAGAATTATGGGAAATCATCACCGCACCCGCATTGTTTGTAATTACTGTTAGCATGTATCTGGCTTGTAATTCGACAGTGTACAGTGATTATAATTATTTCTCATCTCTCTCATTTTTGAAACTCAGCGAATTTGTATATGTAATTTCCAGAATGGATAAGAAACAGTGGATGCGCAACTAATTTCTAGCTTTGAATCTCAATTAAGTGGATTTGAGACAAGAACCCAATGTAATTATCATCAACACAGCTTCGACCTCCAGTAATGCCATCTCAGAAGCAGATTTTATATCACATCGAGCAAAAAATTGATAACAAGCCCCATGGCAACACGTACAACTAAGTACTAAGTTGATATCTTGTAGAAAGACCTACATAATTTAAAAAAACAGCATAATGTCAAAAAAAACCGCATAATGTCAAAAAAAATCGGCATAATGTCACTTTTCAAGTTGTGATACCCTTGCCGGAGAAACGTCCTATTTGCATGGAAAGGGTAATCCTAAAAAAATATGCGGCCGAATCGAAAGACATTTATTACAGGAAGTTAAAAATTAGATAATTTGAGTTATAGCCAACTTTGAGATATCACTTTTTTAGGATAGTCCAAATATCAAAAAGATTCATAGAAAAATTTCAAAGATCAAAAATCTGAAAATAACCCCAAACGCGACTTCCTTTGGTCACCCTGTATAAGTGGATAAATACAAGAAATATACCGGTCGAACCGTTTACGTGTTCTCAAATAGTTGCTCAAGAACCTCATGAATACCGCCACTTGATATCCCTTTCCGGTCCGAAAATATCGAAATTTGAATTTCGGTAAAATTTTCCGTGTTCCAAAGCAACTCTTCACCAGTTTATTTACAATTGGACGACGCTTCGAGGGATACATTTCAGTTTTATTTTTATGATTTTCTTTCAGTATTTCGCATTAGTGGGTTAAATAACATTGAAAGGAACGCCTAAAAACCCCGGACACCTTTTTAGTGATTATCTGAAAGACTTTACACAGTTTTACCTCCAAAGATAAGTAAAGTAAAAGCATAAAAACGCACACTTACCGGCACTATTAACCAAAGACGTCGTCAAAATGGTACACATTATCGTCACTATAAAACCGCATTCCATCATGTTCTTGTACATTATGGCATCTTCTGACTGTAAAGCGTCCACCTCGTTTTTTGTTGTCCGCTTTGCTCAAGTTTGATCGATATACTTGTTGTTGTTCAACTTCGAAGAAGTAAACTCGGCATATAGCACTTCAAACTTCCAGTTAATGATCTGAACGGTCTGAAAAGAACACACAGTTTGTACAACACGTTATAGGTGCATAATTTGAACAATACAGGGTGTCCGCAAAGTTGGGGTTTTCCTTTTCAGAAACAACTACCCTTGAAATAACAAAGGTAATGTGTAGTGAAACGAGGGCGACCAAGTAAAAAAAATAAAGGAAAAAGTACTCACTCTCCAGTTGACGAGAAGGGCTAAGTACGTCTCTGCCCGAAATCATACCGCTCCAACAGAAAATGAAATCAGCTGATGCGCTACCGAGCAGACGCAGGCAAACAAGGAAGGCAAAATGTTGCGTAAAAAGTCTAGGTATTGCATCCCGTCCAATCGTTTAGAAGAATAAATGGTCCAACGAGCATACCGTTCACCATGCCAGCCCAAACATTCACCGAAAATGTTTGTTGAAAATGTGCCCGACGGACAGCGTGCGGATTTTCTACTGACCAAACATGAGTGTTGCGAAAGTTATTCACCCCATTACGCGTGAACGTAGATTCGTCTGTCACCAATATGCACTTCAAAAAGTCCGGATTATTGTCATGTTGAAGCAACAACCACTCACAAAACCGCACTCTTGCTGGAAAATCGTCAGGTTGAAGGGCTTGTACACGTTGGACGTGAAACGGATACAGCCCCTCTTCACGCAGCGTTTGCCACACTTTAGTTTTTGATACTTGCACTTCTCTAGTGCTTGTTGAGGGATTCTCGTCTACGCGATTACATCTACACGCGTGACCGTAACCGTCGGTTGAAGGTTGCATACTGACCTGACACACTGACCCCGACCCAGTTCTGCCGTCGGGTTGAGACCTTGTACCAATCGGTGATGTCCCGAGTCGCGGCTACAGGACGGTATTCAGATATTTTTGATGTTGCAGAGCCCTTTATCTCGGTTCCCTTAAGACATTGGTGTATATGGTACGAAGAAAAATCGCTTATGTTTTCAAGATCTACACGTCGTGTACAGGAAAACCCCAACTTTGCGGACACCCTGTATAATAGTAGTATGTCAGCTAGAAAGTTTACTGCAAACTTCGCACGCAATGAATGTTTGTCCAAATTTAAACAAAAAATGGATTGACTTTAAAGGTGAAACAGTATCGTGAATCTTGTGTGGGGAAAATATGTGATTTATTATGGCTAAGCGGTGCATTGTATCACTGAGATCAGCAGCTCTTAATAATAGAAGGACTTTTACTGACACGAAATATGCAAAAACTTACAACCATTCAACACATACAACCTACAATTTTCATCCCCTCCAAACAATGAATCAATTTTGAAAATATGTTCAATTTTGTGAATGAATACCTACGTAAATGAGAGCTCAGTTCCAAATTCTATTTTACCTTCACAAAAATAAAGCTTGCCGTGATTTTTTTATTATTTATTTTTTTATCATTTCAGAGAAAGATGTCTTCAGGGATCCAAACGCTCTTTTTTCATTCCCATTCAGTGGCGTTCAATTTGGAGATATGTCTTGTCATATTTTGTGACTAATGCTCTCGTACTTTTCTAAACTTATTAAAAAAATCTTGCTGTTTTATTATTATTTTATTTATATTTCGATTGTTATTCCATATTCCTGTCTTTAACAAGGTTTTCTAAAGTTTATAAGATAGGTCTTTTAATATGACACTGCCATGTAATTTTAATTCCCATTGCTCTATATTGTGTACTACAAATGTGGCGGTAAGGAAGTGTTTTTGTCAGCGGGTAATTTCAAAAACCGCATAACTGATTTTGATTTATCTGGGAAGCGATGCGCTGCAATGTCGTATGGCGTGTATTTTTGAGAATGGACAGGCATTAATTATCAAAATGGAAGTACTAAAATCGCGATAATAAGTATTCGAACTTTACAAGTCGTATGTACATATATCAATGCGTCGTAAATACTGAGTCAATCTACTTGACGAAATATCCAGCCAGCCATCATAGATGGTGTAACACAAATTAAAGGTTGGGCTAAATGGGTGGTACATTTAAGGATCAGAAAACTCTTAAAAATGCATGAATATATTGGAAGTAAAATCTGCATATATGCCTGTAACTTGTTATGTACATTTGAAACAAGTTACAGTGCTTTCAATCCGACTTGTTGTTTGAGCTTGTAAAATTCATTCACACTGTACAGTCGAAAAAATACTTCGCGCCTCGCGACCTTAAATACCACCAGCAACATATGGCATCAGTTACGTCATTTCATACAAAAAAGGAATGCTACTACGAGGGATGTCTTTTAAGTTTTGCATATAGAAACATAGTAGGCCGCGCGGATCGAACGTCAGTACTGAATCTTAACCTCACTCTTTAGTAAACTTAAATTCAAAGTTTCACATCAATACGCGCAGTGTTCTCACTACAGGGAATTTTTGAGTGTCACCAAGTCATTAGAAAAATGGAACTCAACCGAGAACATTTTATTACACTTTCAGAGACAATTATAGCAACAAAAATGCCTTGTTGAGTTACTGACTGACAATGCAAGCTCGCACACAGCCCAAAAAAACGTGGAATTATTGGACCATCCTCCATATAGTCCCGATCTAAGTCCTAAAGATTTCTTTACTTTCCCGAAAATTAAAAACATACTGCGTGGTCAAAGGTTCCAGTCACCAGAAGAAGCAGATGACGCATTCAAAAATGCCGTTTTGGATCTGGCAGCAAACACGTGGAATAAGTGCTTCGAAAATTCGTTCGAACGCATGCAGATGTGTATTAATCTTCGTGGAGAATACTTCGAAAAACAATAAAGTCATTAAAAACTACCTACCGTGTTGTTTTATTTCCATATCCAAAACTTAAAAGACATCCCTCGTATAACCTCGGGCGTCGAGATGAATAAACGATGGATATGTAATCAACGCAAAATATACTAAGTGACATATAAAATGCAACACCCAGAATTTTTTATTAAACGTATTTGCTATCATGGACGTATACGCTGTCATTGTTGTTTCATCGCATTATCATACCTAAGGTCCGCAACTTTCCAAGAGAGGTACTGGACTTCACAGACAGACTACAGAGCGACAGAATCGTTATTTGAGGCAATTAGCACTTAAAAACCGATCAGCATCATCTGAAAAGTCAAAAAACGAAATTTTTTTCTCGTTTTTAGCCTTTCTCTCTGCCGCCACCGGGCCGATTTTCAAAAACTATAAACCTTTTTGATCCTTGGCACAGTAGTAGCCTTGTGTGAAAATTTCATCAAAATTCGACCGGTACTTTCCAAGTTATAGACGGAACAGACAGACGGAAATGAGTGACGGTTATTGTTATTCGTGATGTACATGTCACATAACATCGAAAAAACATATCTCATTTTCGAAATTTTTCGCCAGTAGACGAGGGAAGTAATTCAAGTAAGCCATACAGGCGATTACGATATCTCCTCGCCAGCGGCAACTTATTAAAACAACATAATCAACAACTCCAAGAGACACTCCTCAGGCAGAATCAACATGGCTTTGAGAAAACGTCACTTGTTTTTGAAAATACAGTGGCGTACAACATAAAAACAAATGTTTATACGAACTTTTTCCCTATCTTTACGTGCTAAATCCGCCCGTAAATTCCACCGACAACATTCTACATAACATCATCGACAACACATCTATTGTAAAATATCCATCGAAACATCGCGAAGACGAACAGAAACTAAAGAAAAAACTCACATGTGTTCTTCAGCTAACAGTCGTTACAACACACACTGCTCTCACTATCCGAGCGACCCGAAGACAAGAATACACTCGCTTATCCTCAGGTTTCGACGGTATCCTCGATCTGAAAGCCCGAAAAGGAACGTTATCGCCGTATCCCTCACTATCGATTGTTGTAAAAGTAACTGCGGAAGCCCTAGACTGAGGGCCAGGAAAGGTAACACCTGTGGGCCGGCCGAACCGGCAAAAAGAGACCCATCAGGTACGCGTATGGCACGCAGATGGACCCATGGAAAGTTGGTAAATGTTTCGAGTGTCTGTTCGCAGTGGCAGCCAGTCTTTTACAACCGGTTGGTCGAGAAATGAGGCGAGGCTTGGCGTTCGACGAATAATAATGAGCTCTTTCGTATATGGAAATTATTTTAACGTTTATGAACATTACATGGGCGTGCTTTCTTAATTATTGCTTGCACCTGATCAACGGAATTGGAATCAAGTTCGTTGACTCAGGTGAAACTAGACCACGGGTATCATGTAAAAAAACCTATAAAACGTCAAAAAAAAACCTGCAGACTAGGTAGTTTTTAGGGCGCAAACAGTCATTCTAAGTTTGCTCACCAGGATCGTTGTGAACGTCCATCTATGAAGGAATCACTCAACTACACTACACGCATTATTGGTTGCATATGTGTTGAGGCCAAATGGTCCTTATCTGCAGTTTTTATCTCTGAGAAGAAAGTTGGTTGAATAGCAAGATCGCATCTGAATGATTATGTGTATTGGTCTGCATGTGTACAAAATCAGTGATATTTGCCTGAATATGCCTAATATGACGGGTTATTAATATGTTGTGCTTTCTGAAGAGAGGTTATGTTCAAAGTTGTAAATTACGAAAAACTGAGGAGAATTACGTGAAATCATCACCGCGTCCGCGTTGTGTGTAATTACTGTTAGAATGTATATGGCTTGTAATTCGACAGTGTACAGTGATTATAATTATTTCTTATCTCTCTCATTTTTGAAATTCAGCAAATTTGTATGTGTAATTTCCAGAATGGATAAGAAAAAGTGTATGCGCAAGTAATTTCTAGCTTTAAATCTCAATTAAGTGTATTTGAGACAAGAACCCAATGTAATTATCATCAACACATACAACTTACAGCTTAGACCTGCCATCTCAGAAGCAGATTTTACATCAAAGATTGATAACAAGCCTCATGACGTTTAGGCAACCCGTACAACTAAGTGCCAAGTTAACCTCTTGAAGAATAACCTTCATAGTGTCAAAAAAAACAGCATAATGTCAAAAAAATCGGCATAATGTCACTTGTCAAGATACGTAGTGCGGATACAATTTTAGGACGCCTTTATGGCCTCCTTGATTTTCAGTGTTTTTCCTGTCCTTCAGAAAGGTGCTCTATTTTGAGGTTATGTTATATCTATTTGCATCAAATTGTTCAAGGTTTTGATTTTTATCGTCTGTTTTGTTAACCTGAAATTTCCTACTATTCAAAAAGGAAACATAATTAGGAGAGGTCTGACGCTGACATGGAACACTAGAAATCTAGAAATACCCCAGCTTTCTGTAGGAGAGAAAAGACTATGGCATATTCACACTATTTCCGGAGATAGAGATGGTAAGTAATTATAAACCCTTACACTCATGTAATTTAGAGGATTATAGCTGATATGAACTATACATTCATTCACATTGTCAACGCTTAATATTTATTTAAAAAAAAATCATCAGACACATTCGTTCAGTCTTTATGAACTAGGCATAGGTGATTCGTCCCTATTTTCGATTTAAGTGACGTGATATTGTACAGATTATGACATATTATAAAGCTTCAAATGTCTTAAAAAGTAATCTCCGAATAGATGCCCTTCACTCATCGAAAAAAAACAACATAATGCTAAAACTGTTCACATTGTTTAAGGACCGTTTTAAAACAGTGAAAACAGTGATCTTTCATGAAACATTACAGGGCAAACAACAGCGTCGACGATGTTGCAGCTTCCTAAATACCGACGTTTCGTATTCGCCATATCTAAATCGATGCACACATATTGCATCCACATACAATTAATCTACGTTAGAGGTAAGAGTGTATCTGGTCTGCTAAAATAACGCTTGGTACAGTCGATAAACCGGCAAATTATATTAATGTTGAATGCGCGAAAAACTAAAGCATCACATATTTTTTTGTAATAATCAAGCGTGCTATGCTACAACAGCATACTGTCATAAAAATGTTGAACAAAAGATACTTTGTCTTACCTCTTTCCTTCTTTATATCAAGAATCCGTTCGGTTTAACAGACAGTAGGCTCTGGAACAGGAACTAAACTAAACTAAAGCGACGCTATAAAGTAACTAAACACGCTAAATGACGGCATTCCAGGTGTTTACACATTGATTCGCACCGCAACGGTCCACACAACTGATACGCTACTTTTTATCACAATGTTGCCCGCTGTTATGCATTCAAAAGGAATGCCAAAACTTATCTAAACATCCATTTCCGATTCGTTTGTGCGTTATATACGTATATTTAACGACTTTACTTACCTAAACAGAAGTACAGCAGTTCCAAGTATGGACACTGTGAGAACTCATGATAAAATATTTGCATTTACGTGTACATTTTTTATTATATAAATGTTGCAATTAAAACTGAAATTAGTCCGTTCGCCAGTTTCCTGTGAGTTTTATATTTTATAATATACGGCCCGAGCTTTGCGTTGAAATAAGAGAGATAAGAGTATGTTGACTGTACGCAATGAAGGAGGTGTTGCGCGTATGTAATGCATACGTTTAACTTAATTAGTAACAAAAGCAGTTATTGTTATGTGCAGGTGAGGAAATTCCAAAGCGATTCGGATAATTATAGTTGTTGGACTCACCGATATCTACTATCTCTTTCGAAATGGTCAAATCAATTATCATAATTGATAATTACTTGAAGATGGAAAAATGCAATCTTTGTAGAAAAAATGTTGTAGCTTTGAATCAAATCAATGCTTGTACAGGGTGGCCCACTAAGACTGCGAGGTACTATTTCTGGGAACCATCGTAGAGGTTTGCGGCAAAAAAGTCCTTACTGAAATGGCCAAGGGGAAAATCTGGAAAATATTTTCAAGGTCATACCAATGCATTTCATTTTTTGACATTTATGTCGGAAGGTCGAAAAAGGCCTCTAATAGCGGCCACATGTGAAACTAACAAAATTTCAAATATTACAACATTTGTAGCCTAAGAAGCTCTTTTCAACTAGTCCAAAGTTTGTTAAAATCGGCTGACCCGTTTCAAAATTACAGGGTGTTTTTTATGGAAAACTTTAAACACCCACCACCACCTTATTTTTAGAATTACAGCAAAAAATTTAAAACAAAAAAGTTTTTTCCTTTTATTATCCTCGACTTCAGAGATAAGGTATATTTTTGTTAGGTTAATATACAAAAATAATAATAAAGAAATAAGAATACACGCTCTCCAACGGTACCAACGATATTCTGATAAATGCCATAGACTTTTTTGCACGCACTTTATTACGTCACTTCCTCCCAACAGAAACGAATTCTACTAAAATACTTGTCACGCATGAATCAAAAAGCGCATAACGTCAAACAAGTTTTACATATAAACTTGATATTTTGTTAATACAGCCTACTAAGATCACTTTTCTTAGGACCGTATCGTCAGTTGTTCCTACAGTTATAGAACGCCTTTATGGCCTTCTTGATTTTCATAGTTTTCGACTCTTCCGTGTCAGCACTTTGCTTTGAGGTTATGTTACAAATATCTATTTGAGTTAAATTGATCATGCTTCTGATTTATATCATCTGTTATATAGCCTTAAATTACGAACAATTCAAGAAGCAAGCATAGCCTGACAATAGGAGAGCGCTGAGGCTGACACGAAACAGAAGAAATCTAGGAATACACCTGCGTTTCTGAAGGTGAGAAAATACTATGAAAATCAAGGAGGCCATAAAGGCGTCCTACAATTGTGACGATACCGCCCTTAAAGTCAACAACATTCATCAAACAAGAATCTGCAAAAGGGGCGGAGCATATGGATCAACACCGGCAGGGCTTAAACGTAAAAAAAGCTATATGCCAAAAACAAACGCGAAAATGTTATCCTGTTGACTGGATGGCTGGTAGAGTGCAAGTACAGGGTGAAGCAGAAATACACGCGAATTTCAAAACCGCATTGCTCGTGACTGTTACGCGGGAGCAGGACAGGGGGATAGTGGGGATAAGTAGCTTGGTGTTCGGAAATTTAGTCGCCATGGAGCGTTTCACCGGTGAGCAGCGTGCGATCTATGTTAAGGCTCATCTCAAAAATGGAGGTTCGTGCACTATTGCGCGGCATCTGCGTCTTTAGTTACATGATCTAAATCAGGCCTGTCCAACATAATTTTGTGGACGGCCATGTTTAGTATTTTCGTAACCATAGCGGGCCAAAAGAAAAGTAAAGTAACACATTCTAATATGGTACATTTGTTATAATATTCAGTTATAATATTTAGGTAGGTATCCTGAAAATCCATTCAACGAGATGTCTGACATTTTTTCTGTTTGCACAGTGTATTTATGTTAGTTGGTATCTTAGAAGTGGCTATGCGCAAAATACCTGTAAGTTGATGGCTGTCTAATAAAGATGATCTCATTTTTGATTTGTTATATTTCAGCTGCTGTCAAATATATACTAAGATCACTTTTCTTAGGACCGTATCGTCAGTTGTTCCTACAGTTGTAGGACGCCTTTATGGCCTTCTTGATTTTCATAGTTTTCGACTCTTCCGTGTCAGCACTTTGCTTTGAGGTTATGTTACAAATATCTATTTGAGTCAAATTGATCATGCTTCTGATTTATATCATATGTTATATAGCCTGAAATTGCGACCAATTCAAGAAGCAAGCATAGCCTGACAATAGGAGAGCGCTGAGGCGGATCTAGGAATATACCTGCGTTTCTGAAGGAGAGAAAATATTATGAAAATCAAGGAGGCCATAAAGGCGTCCTACAATTGTGACGATATCGCCCTTAAAGTCAACAACATTCATCAAACAAGAATCTGCAAAAGGGGCGGAGCATATGGATCAACACCGGCAGGGTTTAAACGTAAAAAAACTATATGCCAAAAACAAACGAGAAAATGTTATCCTGTTGACTGGATAGCTGGTAGAGTGCAAATACAGGGTGGAGCAGAGATACACGCGAATTTCAAAACCGCATTGCTCGTGACTGTTACGCGGGAGCAGAACAGGGGGATAGTGGTGATAAGTAGGTTGGTGCTCGGAAATTTAGTCGCCATGGAGCGTTTCACCGGTGAGCAGCGTGCGATCTATGTTAAGGCTCATCTCAAAAATGGAGGTTCGTGCACTATTGCGCGGCGTCTGCTTCGCTCCGAGTTTAGTTTACATGATCTAAATCAGGCCTGTCCAACATAATTTTGTGGACGGCCATGTTTAGTATTTTCGTAACCATAGCGGGCCAAAAGAAAAGTAAAGTGACACATT